AAGACTGAAGGGGAGGCCGGAGGTCAGATACGAGACTGAAGGGGAGGCCGGAGGTCAGATACGAGACTGAAGGGGAGGCCGGAGGTCAGATACGAGACTGAAGGGGAGGCCGGAGGTCAGATACGAGACTGAAGGGGAGGCCGGAGGTCAGATAGAAGACTGAAGGGGAGGCCGGAGGTCAGATACGAGACTGAAGGGGAGGCCGGAGGTCACTTTATTAAAGTGTCACGCAGTGCAGCTGGCATTATGAGGTGCAGCGTGTAATAGGTCTGAGCGTGGCGGCTCCATAGTCCGCATGACCCGCCAACTTACCTGCTGGGATTTTCTCTGGAACTCTTGCAGCTCCTCCTCTGTGAGTGGAAGGCAGTCGTCGTCATTCTCCGGGGACTCCTGCCAGCCCATCTCCTTCAGTAATCTGCAGAGAGACGGCACAGATGATCTACCGAGCAACACCGACCGGAACTCCCCCCCGCACACCGGAACCACCGACTTACCTGTGTTCCGCTTCCAGTGAATAAGACAGCCGGCCGCGCTCCCCTTCCTGAGAGTCGGGAATGCCGTTGAGATGGCGGCTCTCCTCCGTGTGCTCCCTGTCCCCATGGCTTAGATGGGAGGGGCTCTGACTCCGCACCTAGGACAGGACATGTTACCGTCAGCGAATACACAGACGAGGTATAGCCAGGACATCTTACCCTCCAGCAAAACACACTTCACGATGCCTTCCAAGCCAGGGGTGGGGCAACTCCCGACCCCCCAGCTGAACTACAAATCCCAACATCCCCCTACCTCTGGGAGTCATGCTAATAACTGTCTTGCAATGCCTCATGGGACTTGGGGTTGCCCACTCCTATTCTAAGCAAACGCAGATAATAAAAAGTGTTTCCGAGACAAGGTCCATCTCAACCAGTGCTGTTGACCACACCAAGCAACCAATCAGCCTCTAGCTTTAATTTTTTCCCCACTGGGAGGACGCTAGTTTGTGTCCTCCGGTTACCCTAAGGAGAACTATGGAGAAAAGCCCTGACCCCGTAGTTCTCCTTTAAAGAATGTAAGTTTAAAAGGCAATTGGCTATAGTCCATCCCAGACAATGTTTATTAATGGCCCCTAGAATATGGGAAGGTTGCTCCTCTGGTATACCTGGGACCCCGGTGCATGCTATACGGGGTCCTGAAGCTCCACATGTGCCCCGCAATACGAGGAACCGTTATCTGTATTAGGAGACTGGGAAATTGTGCAGCCATCTCCATAGAATGTATACAGTGTATATAGACGGATATTCATTCATGTGAAGCTGTTCAAGCCCTAAAAAAGTTCCCCCTTTTATCCCACCCCCTCCTCCCTAATCCATCCTTTTAACCATTTGTTTTTCTTCTTAGGTCCCTTTCACACGGGCATTCCGATCGGGTCTGCCTGTCAGTTTTCAAAAGAGAGAACTATGGGGGTAACCTCTTTATCTCATAGGTCTCTTTAGGGTCACGGGAGGACATATACTAGAAGCAAAAATTGGTTGTGGTGCACAGTTCCCATATCTTTGGGAGCCAACCCCTGGTTAATTGATAAAAGCACAAGCAGAGAGAGAAAAATTGGGTTTTTGTTGGCCCTCGGGCGCGAAACGCGTTGAGCCATACCAGCATCTCTTGAATCTCATTGTCAATGCTACACAATTACCCACCTTGTCGGTTCCACTAGAGGGTTCATTTTCCTTTCCTTTTTATGTGTCATTGGAGATGTATTGGTTGTAATACTGCATATGCTATCCATGTATTTTTGCCTATGCTTGTATTGAACCTTATATGTGGAAATTCAAGGGGGTAGTAGGAGGTTCCCTTTACTGGCGATTCTTTTTTACATTCGCATTTTTCAATGTCTTTTAAAAAAATGTTTTGATAAATAAATTTCTCATTTTTATATATATTCATGTGAATTTATTCATGTGTGAAGTTCATTGGATTTGTCTCTCTGATAGCCAACAAAAACCCCATTTTTCTCTCTCTGCTTGTGCTATTACCAGGACATATACTAACCTCATCCAGTGACCCAAATTTCAGTATATAGCGGGCTATTGCCTGCGATATACAGGAGAGCGCCGCGGCCGGGACGGATCCCGACAATGCCGCCTGGATCCACCCAGCTGCCTGAGTGACAGCTGGCTCTGCCTACCCCCTGGACAGGCACAGATGGTACAACGGTGACATCCGTTCCGATCAACAGGGGATCCATGCGTGCATTTCTGGGTGCGGGGGAACTGCTAATCCAGCGCTGCAGATGATCTCATGCCGGGCAGTCCCCTAGAATCCCCTCACGATGAAATCACTCCTTTTCTGGATCCTGAGAGGACGCCTGGATCCACCCAGCTGCGTGAGTGACAGCTGGCTCTGCCTACCCCCCTCCCCTGTCCTATCCTCCAGTCAACGCTGAAGGATCAATCGGAGAGCTAAGGGGGGATTCCATCGGGGAGCAGTGACTGACAGTCGCGGCGCTCTGCAGGGACAGGATCGAGAAGTGAGCAAGCGACTGTATGTGTTCCCTCACTTCCCGTTCTATAGAGCCGACATGTGACAGTTTCAATGTCCGTGCCGGATCGGAAGTAATCTGATGTAAACGAACACATGTTCACTGATATCCGATTCCCATAGACCAGTGATGACGAACCTCGGCACCCCAGCTGTTTTGGAACTACAAGTCCCATGAGGCATTGCAAGGCTCCGACAGCCACAGACATAACTCCCAGAGGCAGATGCATGTTGGGATTTGTAGTTTTGGAACAGCTGGAGTGCCAAGGCTCGCCACCACTGCCATAGACCAACATGGGTCCGGTAATTACATTTTTTTTAACTCCATTGCAAGACGGAGGAAAAACTGGACAGGCACAGATGGTACAACGGTGACATCCGTTCCGATCAACAGGGGATCCATGCGTGCATTTCTGGGTGCGGGGGAACTGCTAATCCAGCGCTGCAGATGATCTCATGCCGGGCAGTCCCCTAGAGTGCCCTCGCGATGAAATCACTCCTTTTCTGGATCCTGAGAGGACCCTGCAACTGCAAAGCTAATAGGAAGTGTATATAATAGGAAGAGGAAGTGTCCACATCATGCAGGAAGGTATGTGGACAGTCAAAGAAGGAGCCTTCTAGAAGGCTTGGGACAGCAGCATCACATGCCCGCAGCTCTAGATAAGTAAAATGGGCAGCTCAATTTATTTCCCTCGCAGGGGGTCAGTGTCACTAATATCCCAGAGACGGGCTTTAAACCTGCACAATGAACCCACGTATGGGAATTTACATATACCTATGACTGACCCATCGAATAAATTATAAGGGTTGTGGCCGCCTTCAGGTCCCTCTGTCCCCTGTGAACCCCTTTTACATATGCATCATGTTATTTATAAATCGTGGGTTGCCTCCCTGTGGGCACCTAGTTGACACCTCTCCCCCTAAATTAGATGCATTAATGAAAGAAAACTAAAAGATAATAGGGTTTCTGGAGGGGTGTGATTGACCATCCAAGAGACATGTGCTAAAAATATATCAAATTTTATTTTGTATAATATTAAAAGCGATGCATTTCATATATCTAACAAAAACCCTGCATGGGATTTGCTTGTGTAAGCACTAATTTGGTACATACATATTGATATGATCCAAGTTATTCAAAGTAAAAAACTGGATATTAATCACAAGATTGACAAAAATATAATTGCCCCTATAGGGTTTTTGTTACATACATGAAATGCATCGCTTTTATTATACAAAATAAAATGTGATATATTTCTAGCATATCTCTCTTGGATGGTCAATCACATATGCATCATGATCGGGACATCCTGCATTGTGCACAGGCCACCGTCTTGATCACATTAAGACATTTTGGACCGATGGCTGCGACAGGCCCGGTATGATCGGTCTCTGGAAAAGCTGTGATCTCCCAGCTCTGATCACCCCGACGTGCTGGGGGCGGGGTAATAGAGCGACGCGTGCATGGAGGAATATAAATAAGGAAACGGGTATTAATCTCTTACATCTTCCAGTTTATCCCCATCTCTGTCCTCAGTCTGGTCGGCGTCTTGTTCGTCCTTCAAGGTCTTCAGAAACTCGCTCTTCTTGTCTGGCACGCGGCGAGTCATGCGTGTAAGCCGGGAGATGCTAAGCTCCAGTGGTGGGGTGACACTGGCTGTGCCCTGCAAGACACAAGACATAGAATGACGTGCAGCAATGCCGCAGAAAACTCTGACAACGCAGTGACAAGGTGAAATTCTGATTGGAGTTATTACACGTCGCTGGATAAGTCCGGAGTGCGGCTACAGTCCTATTTATGTCCTCATTGAAGGTGAAGCCGGCCAAGTGCACTGGCACACAAAACTCACTTGCAAACAAGTCCCCTACATGAACCCTTACATAGCACTGAAAATGCCCGCTGTCTTGGGATATAAGTGACAATGCAGAACACCGCTCCCTCTGCTCATCTCCACAGCATAGGGAGAGGCGTTTTGTAGTCCAAATTATGAACCGGGAGGGGGGGGGGGGGGGATTGAATTTGTTGTGCCTCCAGCCCTCCCGTCTGGGGGGGAGAGGAAAGAGAGAGAGGGGGGGAAGGGAAAAGAAGAGAGGGGGGGGGGGGGGGGGGGGGAATTAGATTGCTTGAGATAAGGCAGGAAGGGAGCACAGGAAGTAGGGATGCTCCGATACAGCTGGGTAGTGAGTCCTTACACGGTGCCTGGCTTCTTGAATGGGACTTCTGGTATCGGTGGGAAAAAAAAATATTGGCACTTGTCCTCGATACTGAAATAGCGTTATCGGTGCATCCCTAACAGGAAGTGATCAGGTCACTAGATTTCTGGTACAATCAACGGGTATTATTTGCACTTATTGTACATATATAATAAAACGGTATATATTTAACAGACCAAAAGAAAGCGAATAAAAGAAGTTCATTGTTAGAGTTTACATAGCAGGTTGTCCAGCACTCTACAGCCACATACACCCTCCCACCTTCTACTGGATGGACTTACCTCTCTAGAGGAGGTCAGTATGGGTGCTGGGGCCAACACAGGGCTGGTAAAAGCAGAATCTCTGCCGAAAAAGAGGGAGCTGGATTTGGATTCCCGGCCATTTGACTTCCAGGGACCGGGCTGCAAGAGACAAAACACAGGTCAATATTTCAGCATAAACTACAAAAAAATAAACTACCCCCCACCCCTCATGGGCAATGCTTTGCCCAAATGCTTTCTTACGTATACTATCAATATCAGCATTTAAAGCAGTGCGCATCTGCGAGTTTCTTAATCTTTCTAAACCTCCTCATGCATCATTTCCCCCCTCCCTTTTAGATTGTAAGCCCTCAGGGGCAGGGCCCTCCTTACCATCTGGTCTTGAATTGCATTGTGATTGTAATGTCTTCCTTATATTGTAAAGCGCTGCGCAAACTATTGGCGCTATATAGATCCTGTATAATAATAATAATAATCTTGCTTCAGGAGGTGTCGTTCCCACAAAAATAGAGGCAATGAGGTCACCAGCACACCGAGGTCCACATTATCAGTCCGTCCTTTACTGGCGTTCCATTAACCTGTGATCACAAAAGATCGCAATCGTCTATTGGCGTTACATAAACCTGTGATCACAAAAGACCGCAATGTTTCAGAACCAGGGTGGTCTGTTCATCGGGTAAAACAGGTAATGTGACGATTGTGTGGTCACATTGCCTGCTAAAGGGACCACACTGGTTCTTAAACATTGCGATCTTTTGTGATCACAGGTTTATGTAACGCCAATAAAGGACGGACTGATGATGTGGAGCTCGGTGTGTTTGTGACCTCATTACCTCTATTGTCTTTGCGGCGCCATCCGCTGGCCACTTCCAGCGCCCACTGCAGTTGCAAGAAGAGATAAGACGGTCAGGAGTGCGATGGGATATCTTTAAAAGAGAACTATGAGGTCAGTGTTTTTCCCCATAGTTCTCCTAAGGGTAACGGGAGGACACAAACTAGCGTCCTCCCGTCACCCTAGGCTCAGTATATAGGGAGCTGCAGCTCGCGGTATACTGAGACGCCGCAGCTGAATCGGATCCCGACAATTATG